CAGGCTGAGCGAGGCGCCCATTATGGATCAATGCCGCAGTCATGCGGCAGGGAGAAGGTGGAAGGCAGGGAGGAGACCGGATCGGGGCCGCCCAGGGCTGGGTGGGCAGACATGGAGGTCGGCCCTGCCGTGCCTCTGCCCCCGGGGGTATGTCCTGCTCCCCCTCTCTTTTCTCAGCACAGACAGCCCTCCCCCGCCCCTCCCCACTCCCAGCCTCTGGGCCTGCTTGGGGCAGGCGCCCTCTGAACCGCTGGGGTGCCTGTCCCCTGGCCCTCTAGCTCACGCTGGCTCAGAATACTTCTGGAACCTTCAGCAGCACTCCTACCAGCTCCACTGCTTTACTGCTTCCCCATCTGGTCTGAGCCTCCGAAGAAGCAGGACATGCGCGGGAGCTCAGGTTCTGGCCCAGGGAGAGGCCAGGATGATTTGGAGACAGATACTGGGCTTCTGAGAAACAAGTGATGCGGGGAGGGAAAGAGAGGATCTGGATTCTGAAAGTTGCAGAGCTGGGAGGCTTGAGGCAGAGAGCTGCCACTGGAATTCCATTTCTGGAACAATCCAAGTCCATAGGTGGGGGCCAGCCTGAAGGCTGGAGTGCTGTCTAGTGGGGGCCCCTGACTTCTCTGCCCTCAGCGGGGAAGGGGCAGCCCTGCGACGCACCACTGCCTTCCTCCACCTCCACTTCCAAGGCCTGGCTCCTCTGAGCCTGGTTAACCACAGAATATTTTTAGCTGACAGTTCCTGCTCACAGCTGAGCGTTCACCCTTAAATATTTTATTAAGTTCCTTTTTATCGAACATGGGCCTGTGTCCCTTAGAAGCGGAAACATGGTGCAGTGGGTGTCCCAAGCCCCCTGGGCTGTCCCTCCCACTCCCCGTCCTCCTCCCTCAGCCTCACAGGGGTCCCCTGGCCCAGGTGCAGGCTCGCCCTGCTGCGACTCAGCCCGGGCTGCATCACAGATGTTCATGTGTGTACCTGTTACCCCAGACACCACGAACCTCTGTCCCCACAGGACCCTGTCTCCGTCCAGCTGCTACTTGGAACCCCCGCCCGCCCCCATGAGTCTGCCTCCAGGACCCAGGTCCTTCTCTGCCCTGCTTCCCTCTCTGGGCATGCGGGCACGCACCTCATGTCTGGCCCTTCTCCCTGCTCTTAGTATCTTATCTCCTCTGCCTCCCCTCCTTCTCCCTCCCATTCTCCCCTTTTGGAAGGAAGGGAAGGTCGGGGGGGACACTGAGGCCTTCCCCATCCCTTCACTGTGTGTGTTAAAACAAAAACCCCTTGGCCTGCCTTCCCTCCCTGCCCAGCTTGCGTCCTGCAGTGTCCCTGTCCCCAGTCCAGTTTTCCTTGTTTGTCCGCCCCCTTGCCCAGCAGGGGGCACACACCTCTTTTAGCCACTCACTCTGGTGCCTGGCATGTGGTGGGCACAAATGTCTGGGGGGATGAATGAATCTGAGAGGCAAGAGGGTTGGTCAGGCAGGCGGGTGGAAGGTCGGGCGGATTCGGCCCCTGCCTGCCCAGGGCTGCTCTCCGTGCTCTGCTGAGCTCTGGGCCTGTAGCCCTGGGGCTGGCCAGGAAGGTCCTGTCCTGGACCCTCTCTTGCCCCCTCCCCTGCCAGTTCCTCTCGGGGGAAGGAAGCAGTGACCGTGTGGCACCCAGAGAAGGCGGGATGCCCCTTGTTTCGCTGGCGGAAATGAGGCGGAACTTTGCTAGCAGACTTGGCGCCCTTGTGCGAGGCCCGGCGCCCTGCCACATTCCCACACGTCCAGCCTGGCCCGGGGGCCGCATCTGGACTCCTGCTCCCGGCCCAGTTCCTGACTCTGCTCGCCTCTGCCCGCAGGTGTTCCGGAGCGGAGAGGGCATGGGCATCCGCCTGGATAACGCGTCTGCCTTCCAAGGGGCTGTCATATCCCCACACTATGACTCCCTGCTCGTCAAAGTCATCGCCCACGGCAAAGACCACCCCACGGCTGCCACCAAGATGAGCAGAGCCCTTGCCGAGTTCCGAGTCCGAGGTGTAAAGGTGAGAGGCTGTCGGCCCTGCCTGCCTCCAGGCGCTCTCGGGCCCGCCCCAGTCCTGTCCCTTGGCCGCTCTGCCTCTGCTGGGGCCTGGCCCCTCAGCTGCCCTGGGAGTGGGCCTGGGCTCCTCAGTGCTCAGGGGGGGCCTCGGCCAGAGCCAGGAGTCTTGCTCCGGGGAGCCCCACGCTCCTTCTTGCCCTTCTTAGGTGAGATCACCTGGAGTCTGTGTTCAGCCCACATATTACAGGCCTCCCTTCTGGAAGTTCTGATCCCACAGGTTGAGGTGGAGGCCCCAGAGCCTGCGTTTTGAATAAGCTGTCCGGGTAGTTCTGAACCCCAGGAAAACCCTGGGTGAGAGAGCACAAGCCTGTGTGGACAGGGTCACTTTCCATAAAATGAGCCCCCTGTCTGCCCTCACTGCCCTCATCCCCTGGCCTGGCACATAATGATGTCGTGTTGGGTGCCTTTGGGACCGCTGGGAAGGGAGGCTGCAGCTGGAGGCCTGAGCCAGGGCAGAGGGAGGCACGGGGCCCAGCTGCCGGGCAAGCACCTGAAATGCTCGATGGCCTCTTGGTTCCCCGTGTGCGTAGCTAGAGACGAAACCACAGCCACGTGCTGTCTTGTCCTTGAGGCCAGCACTGCCTACATACCCGTGGGCATCCCCTGGGCAGATGCTGCTGGCAGCCGCCCTGTGGCACAGGAAGAGCAGGGAGGAGGGCTCTGCCTTTCGTGGGTTGTGCTGCCCGGCCCTACCGTGCGGTGGCTCTGGGCAGGCCTGCGCCTCATCCTGTCCTGGGAGTGTCCAAAGGATGGAGCCCAAGGCAGGGGATGCCCTCCTTGGCCTGCCGTGCACGCTGTGCGCTGGGGCCCTGGCTGACGGCCCCTTCGTGTCACTTCCTCCTGGCTGCCTCCGGGCCTGCCTGGGGTCCGGGCTCGGTCTGTGGGGTCAGGGCCTGCGGGAGGCACTGTCCTCTCACCCGCTGACACAGCTCTGTGATGCGTCCTGGCAGGGGCCCCGAGGGAGTGCAGAAGGCTTTTGAAAAAGCACTTGGGAGGGAAAGAGAGAGGAAGGGAACCTGCGGGGCCGGTGCTGGGTCAGCTGTCTCCTCTCAGGCCCTTGGCCCACCTCCGAGGGAATGGTGTTCCCAGGGTGTCGGGGTCTCTGTGCTCTCCCATGGGAAGCCTCAGGGCTCCTGGCCTGGGGGCTGTTTCCTGCGCATGTACAGAGATGTGTTGTGTCGTCCTGTGTTCAACCTGCTGCTCTCTGAGGGGTTTTTTCCCCAACTAGGGGAGCTTTTGGGGCCGGGTGGCCAGCACGCACCATGACCCTAGTGTGGAGCCCGACTGCCCCACCCTTCACCCGCCTGTCCTTGTTGCTCTGTCGGCCTTACTGGTGCCCCCCCGCCCCCCGCTGGCCCGTGCCTGTGACCCCCCGGGCCACAGGACCTTCCACCTGTCCCCCAGCCTGGCAGGCTCATGAGGACCCCCTGCCTTAGATCCCTGAGGGCAGAGAAGGGGCCACGGGGCCCACAAGGAGGGAAGTGGGAAGGCCAGCTGCGGGACACATGTTTCTGGTTCCGTGGGGCATCAGAGTCCTCCCAGATGTGCACCCTGATGAGGCCGCTGGCTCCTGCCACATCTAGCGCTTCCCGCACCTGGCACCTGGCAGCTCCTTGCTCCTTCTCGTCTCCCCTCAGCCCCGTGCCACCTCTGCCTTCTCCCCACGGCCCCTTGGAGGGTTCATCCTCTCCTGCTATTCTGTTGAGGACCTTGTTTCATTTATTTAAACCAGGATCTCTCTTGGGCCACATCCAGGTATGTGTTCTGTGGCTGGGCGGGCAGGCGCACGAGTGTGTGAACAGTGTGCAAACCCACCAGAGTGTGAGCTTGGCCAGCACACACCTATTGTGCAGTTCTCCCGGGCTGCCCGTTAGAGCCACGGCGGGCCTCACACACAGACGCCACGCGCCCCTTGGCACAGGTACGGTGGCCGCCACAGTCTGGGCACCATCACAGGCCAGTGTCCGCCCTCCGCAGTGGGGCCCAGGCACCTGCATGTTCTTAAAGCGTCGGTGGGGGGCGGGCTGCCAAGCACCGTGGAGAGCCACACGTCTGCAAGCATTTGTGTCTGGAGCATCATTCCTCCCAGCTGACGCTTGGGAGCCGTGATTGTTCAGAGGCTGGCCAAGGCTGTGCCCGGGGCCGGAGGCTGACAGGGATCTTGGGTCGAGGAGGCAGAGCAGGGCAGTGGCCCTGCGGGTGTGGGCACCCCCCTCCTGCCCCCGTGTTAGCCCCTCCAGTGTCCAGCAAGGGTTTGACTCAGTCTTTCCAGACAAACCCAGAGCAAAGCCGTGGGGGGCGGGAGGGGGGGCGGGGAATCCATGGAGCAGCTGAGAGCTCAGGGCCTCTAGCCCTGACGAACCTTCCAGAAGGTCTTGGGTTAATAGCAGAGCAGTGGGATTCCAAGCCTTTTCCAACTCTTCTGGGATAACATTTTACAAATCCAGAAGATGCCCTGGGAGATGGTGAATGAGGCTGTCCCCAATGGAAGCCATGAGGACTTTCCTACTGAGTTAGAGTATTGCCAGCCAAGGTCCGTACACCCTGAAGGGCTGTGCCATGGTCCCCTTGCCCCTGTTGCCACTCTGTGCACCCTGGCGTCCATGCCTCCACGAGGATGTCACATCTTGTCCACATCCTGCCAGGAAGGGGTGTTCTCTGCACTTACAGACGCAGGCTAGGGCCCAGAGGGCTCAGGCACAGCCCTTCCCCTTCTCGAGGGGCTGGTCCAGCTCACCTGGGACAGGAAGCACCAGCCCCAAGCACCTGGCTGTTAGAGGAGGCTGAGGGCACCCTGGGCTGTTTGGGCCACCTCTGTGGGGCTGACAGCCCCAGGCCTGACCCTGTCCTGTCTGTGCCTCTGCTGGCCCACGTTCCCCGCCGCTCTCAGGGAGCCTAGCCGGATAAGTCAAGGCTAGCACTGAGGTGTACCCAACAATTTTATTATAAAGAAAAACAAGACTCCCGCTTGGTGGCTGCAGCCCCCTGCCTCGGTGGCTGTGAGCACCTGTCGGAGGAACGCGGGTCTGGAGGCCAGAACCAGGGAAAGGGCCCCCTGTCCTGCCAGGTACAAAGGGGGCCTGAGGTACCAAGGGTAAAATCAGGAGGGGCTCCCAGGCAGTGCTGACCCACCGGGCCCCGCAGCTGCCCGCCCCACGCCCTCTGCCCTGACCCCGGCTCGCCCCGGGCCGCCTCCCTTCCCATCACACCACACTCTCCTCCAGCTGCTCCGTGCTGCCCCCAACCCCCCGGCACCCTGCCCCAAGCAGCCCCCCGTGCACAGAGTGGCTCCTCCGGGCCCAGGCCCCTCCAAGGCGCCTGGCGTAGCCGTAGCACCCGCCGGCGTCTCCCAGGTCCAGGGAGCAGCTGCGTTGTGGCCGAGGTGGTGGGCTCCTTGGCGGGTGGGCCTTGGGAGTGGGGCTGGGGCCTCCATTGGTCTGGGATTGGACGTGGCTGAGCTTGAGGGGAAGGCGGCCATTCCCGGCCCCCCGGCCCCGAACCAGCAAGGCCACAGTGAAGACCAGTAAGGCAGCCACCAGCACGCCCCCCACGGCCACGGTCAGGGTCCCGCCCAGCACGTGGGCCTGCAGGGCGTGGCACAGGGGTGCAGCCGGTAGCGTGGAGAAGTGGGCACAGCCCAGCAGCCTGGTAGCTGTGAGGTCGGAAGGCCCAGCGGCGGGTGACAGGGCCAGCAGGCAGAGGTCATAGTCGGCACCAGGGACTAGGTGCTTCAGCAGGAAGTGGTGGCTGGAGGCCGGGACAATCCTGCGGGCAGGGGTGGGTGGTCAGAGCCTAGCTCCAGGCTCTGACCCCACCCCCCACCCTCACCGCATGCTCCCCAGGGCCCAGCTCGGGACACTCCCCTCCCCTAGGGCCACTTGGGCCTCGTTTGTTGACTCAAGAAGGCAGAGAAGCCAAGGCAGGCATGCATGTGTGCAGCTGGGGACAGAGCACGGGGACGGACGGGCGTGTGAGTGTGTGTGTGGACGCACAAGCCCAGGGCAAGCCAGGGAGGCGGTGCAGAGTCACAGGGCCAGAGCCAGAAAGAAGACGTCCGCATGGCCCAGGCTTGTGTGCCCCCGCACAGAGACCCAACACCGGCTAGCCTGGACAGAGAGCTCCTGGGGCACCCCCACCTCTCCCTGGTGCCTGCCCCTCCCCTGCCCCTGCAGGCAGCTCAGAAGCTGAGGAGGGGTGTGTGGAAGTGGAGTCCGGGAGGGGTGGAGAGGGGCCCAGACGGCAGCTGGGAGCGAGGCTGGGGCTGAGGGCTGCAAAGTGCCTCCTCACCGGTAGATGAGGGTCTCGTCCTCGCTGCTGTTGTACTGGATTTGGAACATCCACACGGGGTCTGCTGGCCGCCCCGGCCCCCAGCTCACCAGCCCTGAGGTTGCGGTCACTTCCGTCACCTGCACAGCTGGCTCAGACTCTAGTGTCCCCTCGCCCTCGGCAGCAGTGCGGGCCGAGGCAGCAATGTCCGAGGGCCCCGGGCGGCCCCCCTCCGCGCTGCCATTGCCGCCATGGGGCAGGGCCAGCACCCGGAGCTCCACCTGGGCTGTGGCCTCCCCGGCAGGGTTGGTGGCAATGCAGGTGTAGCCCCCGGCATCCCCAGAGCCCGTCACCCCAATCTCCAGGGTCCCGTTGGGGAAAGCCCGGGCTCGGGAGGAGTTGCCAACCAGCCGGTCATCGGGGCCGACCCAGTGCATGGTGGGCGCGGGGTCGCCAAGCGCCCGGCACCGCAGCGTGGCCCGCTGGCCCTCCAGCACCCAGAGGCGCTGCGTGTGGCGCGCAATGAGGGGTGGCTCGCAGGAGAACTCGCCCTCGGGCACGGCCCAGAAGTAGCGGCCGGCCAGGCCCGGCGGGGAGGCGCACGTCTCCAGGTCGTCGGGCCGCGCCAGCCGCCGTAGCCACAGGAGCTCACAGTTGCAGTGCAGGGGGTTCCCGCTGAAGCTCAGCACCAGGGGGGCGGGCGAGGCCTCCGCGTCGCGGCCCCGGGAAAAGAGCGGGTCGGGGGCCAGCGTGGCCAGGCGGTTGGAGGTGAGGTCGAGGCGGGAGAGCTGGCTGAGCTGGGCGAAGGCGCCCGGGGGCAGCGCGTCGATGAGGTTGTGGTCCAGGTTGAGGGTGTGGAGGGCGGGCATGGCGCCGATGCCAGCCCAGGGCACCTGCCGCAGGTTGTTGTAGGACAAGTCCAGGTCCTCCAGGCTGTCCAGGAAGTCGTCGAAGGCCCCAGGCGAGATGCGGCCCAGCTGGTTGCCGCTGAGGATGAGGTGCTGCAGGTTGACCGGGCCCCGGAGGCTGCCGGCGCCCAGCTCAACCAGCCTGTTGCCATCCAGGTGCAGGGAGCGCAGGCTCTCCAGGTCCCCAAAAGCGCGGGCCCCGATGCGGGTGATGGCATTGCGGGACAGTGTCAGGTCCACCAGCCCCGTCATGTTTCGGAAGTCTGGCGGCCCCAAGGCCTGGATGAAGTTGTCAGCCAGCCGCAACTCCACGGTGCGCCGGTCCACGTTGGGCGGCACAAACAGCAGGCCTCGGTGGGCACAGAGGGTGCTGAGCGACTCGGACAGGTTCTGGCAGACACAGGGCAGTGGGCAGGCGGCCGCTCCACTGGCCAGCAGCAGCAGCAGGAGTGGGGGGGCCATGGTGAGCGCCCTGTAGGGAAGGGCCAGAGCCCAGGCACAGGTGGGGCGGGGGCGGGTGCCCACTGTGCCCGCGGCCCAGTCCCAAGGGCCAGCTCCCAGAGCCTGGCCTGGGGGGGGGGGGGGTGTCAGGGTCAGAGGCCCCAGGGGCCCCCCACCCAGGGCTGAAAGAAGGCTGGGGCCTGCAGGGCCAGGCCCCCCAGACTAAAGGTCACATTTCCCAAGCCGGTAGGGGGGTCCTGGCTCTGGGGACAAGGTGCAGCATGAGGCAGGAAGCGGAGGTGGGCACTAGAGCAGGGAGGGTCCCGGAACTTCCTTTCTCTGGCGTCTCCAGGAACCGCCAGCACCCTCCCTCCGCGCCATCCCCTCCCCCGCCAGGGAAGGCGCCCTCACCCCCCCAAGCCCCTCCCGTGGCCCGTCGCCCCTCCCTGGCCAGCCCCCGCTGCTGTGCCCCGCGGCCCCTCACCTGGTGTCTGTAGCTCAGGGGGCGCGGGCCGGCCTCCCCGTGGGCCTGGCCAGCCCCCGCCGACTCCAGGCGGCTCTCCCGCGGGGGCGAGGCCAGGAGCTGACCGGCCGCCCGCCGCGCGCCCTCCTGCCCATGGCGCTCGGGCCCGCGGCCCCGGCTCACTCGGTTCCCGGCACCTTTTCCCGGCGGCTCGCGGCGGCGGCGGCGGCGACAGGCAGGCGGGCGCGCGCCGGCGAGCACGCGCTCCGCGGACACGCACGTGGAGGGCGGACAGGGAGGGGCGCACGGGGATCCACCCGGGCCGGCTGGCTCCCGAGGTCACGGGGACACGCGGCCACCGCAGCGCCCACGGGTGGCTCCCGGTCACGCCCGAGGCCCGGGCCGGCGCGGGCCCGCCGCGCAGTCCCCCGGCGCCGCCGCAGCGCACTCACCCTGGCACAGGCGCGCGCGCCCCCGGCCACCCTGGCGCCCCGGCATCCTGCACCGCACGGGCGCCCGCCGCCGCTGCGCGAACCGTCACTCTGCAGACAGCCAGACAAAGCGCCAGCTCGCGGGCCCCTTCACCATCTCCCAGAGACGGGAGCCTTTGTCACATGTCGCTGGGCAGCCTCCCCAGCACACCCACACATGCCCACACACCCACACGTCCCCGCACCCACAGGCAGGGCCGGGCGCAAACCCGCACTGTTGTTGGGACCCTCACAGACACACGCTGAAGGTCATAACCGTTCTGCATCACCGAGTCACGTGGAGGGTCCCCAACAGGCACGGGGCCTGGGGTGGGGGTGGGAGTGAGGGGCTGCGGCGACGCCCCCGGCAGGCCGGCTGCGGGGTGGGGCGGAGAGGGCTCGGCCTCCGGGCTGGCGCCGTGCCCCGCCCCTCCCTCCCCTTCCCGGGCTGCCTGCCCCGCCCGGCGTGCTCGGGAGCCAACCGGTCTCCGCCTCCGGCCCGATTGGTCCCGCGCCGCGCGGTTTCCCGGCAGGCCGGCGGTGGCACGCTGTTTGAAGCTGTGCGTCAGTGGTCCTCGCCGCGCCGGCAGCCCGCCCTCCCCCCTCTGTCCCTGTCGGGCCGTCTTCCTGGGAGAGCGGCCCAGGGTGAGCTCGTCTGGGCTGAGAAAGGGCTCCCGGCGGGGGTGCGGTGGGGGGAAGAGTGCCCTTCCCGGCTGCCTCCCTCCGAGGGCCGGGGCTTGGCTGGGAGCGCTGAGTGCTCGGAACCAGGTAGCGCGCTCTGGTTCTTCGGGAAACAAGGGGAGTCGCCACTTCCTCCAGGTATCTCGTAGTTCTCAGGCTACCTGGACACCCCCCACCCCCGTCCCTTTCCCTTCCCTGCAGACATGATGCCTAGGGGCTGGGTGGGCCAGGACCCCTGGGAAACGGAATTCTGATTCTGCCTGGTTCAGCAGCTTAATCTTAGGCAAGTTATTTAACCGCTGAAACACTTGACTCATCTCGGCCGAGGGGTATTAATTACACATAGTCACGTGCCTCATAGGGCTGAGAGGAGAGATGTAGCCTGTGAGGGGCGCAGCCACCTGGCAGCTGGAAGTCGTTCCTAACTGTTGCCACTCCCAGGGCCTCAGCTGTTGCATTTGTAAAATGAAGGCACTGGATTCTAGCCCAGGTCAACTCTGATGCTCAGAAGCATGGGATATCTCTGCCCCTGTCTTCACCTTCAAGAATGTTTTCATTCACTCTAAACAAACCAGTCTACTAGCATCCATCGCAAGCCGCTCTGTGCTGAGAGTTGGGGTACATCAAGAACCAGATGGGTCTGGTTCCTGCCCCCACCGGGCCTCACAGTACATAGGGACGACCGATCCCCCACAAAATCACAAAGGGGGAGGGGCCTACAAATAGGACATGTAAGGTGGAACAGGGGAGGCCTCTGAGAATCCCTCTTAACCCTGTGTGGTTCTAGGTTTTTTAGATGGCTTAAATTGGTTTTATCTTCTCAAATGCCATGCCTTGGTCCAGTTGAAATGTCCCTTTAGGAGGGGCAGGGTCTAGTCTCAGGGACAGATAGGCAGATCTGTCACACCAGAGAGGCATGAGGCAGTGTTGGTTGGGTCCCACTCTGCAATGACTGTGGGGGAGGCACCCTTCGCATCTGGACCTCCAGGTGATAGGAGCGCGGGGTGGGGGGGAGGGACACAGGTAGAATTTCTCAGAGTGGCCGCAGGGCCCAGCAGCATGAGTCCCTACTGAAGTTGCCAACAGAGGTCATGAGTGGGTGACACGGGATGCCTTATCTGAAGTGACAGCCATGTGGTCACAGGCACATGCACGCTCGAATTCCACCCACGGGGCCTGGCAGTCATGGGACGTGGCTCCATGCTGCCTTCCAGGCTCCCTTATGGCCTCTAGGTGGGACTTGGCCAGCTCCAGCTTCATGCTGTCTCCCAACAGTTCAGTGAGCAGAAATGACCCTTGTGCACAAAGCAGGTGGACACAGATACATCGGACAGCACCCCTGCCCCCAGAATGCTCCCAGGGCTCCCAGGTGTAGGAAGAATGCAGACAAGCAAAAGCTGAGGCCTAGGGAGGCGCTTTCCAACAGCTGATCCCACAGAAGCCTACTTAAAAGGGGGGAGGGCCCGGCTCTTGTGAGGGCAGGAGGTACAGACAAAGGCCTTCCAGTTCAGACTTCGAGGAAGCGCCTACCAGGCCGGCGCAGACGTGTGGCTGCGTGAGAGCACAAGGAAGTCTGGTGTGGCTGGAGGGGGCCGTGACTTGGGAGCCTGGCAGAAGGCATGGCCTGGAGACAAGGGGTCGTAGAGTCTAGAGATGGCCATGGTAGAACCACCTGGCTTGACCAGTGACACAGGAGTGGGTATTGGGGGTGATGGAGCGTAGGTTTGGGTAACCGGGTGGACAGTGAGGCACCGAGCAGAAGGCAGAGGAGGACTGGGTGAGGGAAGCGGACTTTGGACTTGATGAGCTTGTGTGAGGGCCACACAAAGAGAGGTGCCCAGGAGGCATTTCCACTTTAGGGTCTTGGCTCTGGAGCTGGCTGCCCAGGATGGGGCCACCCAGGGAGAATGTGCTGAGTGAGGAGAAGAGGCCCCGTGACAGCTCTGAGAACTCCATCCTGCAGGGGTGAGAGGAGCCCCCAGTGGGGATGGGGAAGAGGAGAGCAGGAGGTCCTGGAAGCCCAGGGCACCAATGCCCAGGTGGGAGCTGTTAGCAAGTGCAGCGTGGGAGAGGGCCCGCAGGAGTCAGCCACCAGGATGGAGCTTAGTGAGGATACCAAAGTGTGGCTCTTGGGGGCGGAGGGTTGCAGGGAAGGGGGTCGCCGAAGGTAGGGACATTGGTCAAGAAGCACGGCCGCTTTATGTCACGGTGCCGTGGGAAGGGCCTGACCCGTTTTCTGGGCTGTGTGGAGGGGAGGTACTTAATTTCCAGGTCCCTGAGGAAGGAGGAGGTGATTCGGCACATGCTCTGGGTGAGCAAAAGGGGAGGAGGTGGGCTCAGCCCCCGAACAACTTAGGGGACTCTGCCAGGATAGGGGGTTGGTGAGGAGATGGGGAAATGTCATCCCACAGGGAGGCCTCAGACCTCAGCCTAGTATCCTAGGGAACGTGGGGGGAGCTATGCTGGCCCAGGGTGGCACCTTCAGCCTCTTCTTTCCCCAGCCATGCTACACGGTGACACCCTCCCACCCACCTCTGTCCTGCAGACCAACATCCCCTTCCTGCAGAATGTGCTCAACAACCAGCAGTTCCTGGCAGGCACCGTGGACACCCAGTTCATCGATGAGAACCCGGACCTATTCCAGCTGCGGCCTGCGCAGAACCGGGCTCAGAAGCTGCTGCACTACCTCGGTCTGGCCCCGAGATGGCCCTTCTCTCCGTTCCCAGATGCCTTGCTCCTGGCCCCCTGCCTAGAAGAGCTTCCTAGCACCCACTGTCCTTGCTCTCGTTTTGGTCCAACACCCTCCTCCTTTGCTTCACCCTCCCACCTTGCCCACCTTCCTTGCTCCTGATCTTAGAGATGCCCCCTTTTCCGTCCACGTGGCCCTCAGTAGATCCCACTGCTTGGACCCAGGAGGCCCTGGCTTTGGAGAGGACTGGGGATCCTGGAGGAAGCCCTCATCACCAGGCCCGTCCACTGTCACTTCTGCCCTCAACTCAGACTGTCCCTAGCCCTTCCTGATCCCGCTACCCACTCTCTCCCTAGGTCATGTCATGGTGAACGGCCCAACCACCCCAATCCCCGTAAAGGCCAGTCCCAGCCCCACAGACCCTGTTGTCCCTGCGGTGCCCATAGGTAGGTGAGATTCATTCTGCCAACTCGGGGAGACAAAGAGGAGGCTCTGCTGCCTGAAGGATGGGTGCTAATGCCCAGCTCTGCCCTAGGCCCACCCCCGGCCGGTTTCAGAGACATCCTGCTGCGGGAGGGGCCCAAGGGTTTTGCCCGAGCTGTGCGGAACCACCAGGGGCTGCTGCTGATGGACACGACCTTCAGGGATGCCCACCAGTCACTGCTGGCCACTCGTGTGCGAACCCACGATCTCAAAAAGATTGCCCCCTATGTTGCCCACAACTTGAGCAACCTCTTCAGCATAGAGAACTGGGGAGGTAGGCTGGAGGAGGGCTGGAACGTGGGACAGCACCTGGAAGGAATTGGGTATCCAGTGTAGCCCGGCCCCCGGCCCCCGGCCACTCCGGAGGCTAGAGATGTTAACAGCGAGGAAGCCAGTGAGAAGTGAACAAGGCATGGTGTTCATTTGTTCAGCAGCGACTGGGGCCGACTCCGGGCGCGCCTCACGGAGCTGAGACCCTGGTAGCTCAAGGTCTGTTCGTTACGGCACAGAGAGTTGGTGGCAGGACTGTGAAAGGGGGCACAGAGGACACTGATCCTGAGCTACCCTGAGAGCAGCAAAGGGAAAAGTCTGCAAGGGCTGGGGCAGGGACGTGAGGGACCTGACGATGCGCGGGATGGGGTGAGGGCTGGAGGCTCAGGCCGCAGAGCTGCAGGTGTGGTGGGGTCCCCGGGGGAGTGAGGGGCTGACCCGGGCCTCTTGGTCCCTGTGCAGGAGCCACGTTTGATGTTGCCATGCGCTTCCTGTACGAGTGCCCCTGGCGGCGGCTGCAGGAGCTCCGGGAGCTCATCCCCAACATCCCATTCCAGATGCTGCTGCGGGGGGCCAACGCTGTGGGCTACACCAACTACCCCGACAACGTGGTCTTCAAGTGAGCCTGGGGTCCGGGGGGCTGCGGACACTGTACCGCAGGGCCCCGTGGGGGCCAGGCCACGCTGCAATGGCCTGCACGCCCCGAGGAGGGCTTGACACCGAGCCTCGTAGCTGTCCCCAGCAGGGGCTGCCATCTGGCAGCTTCATGGAGTGAGGATTATGGTTGGAGACCTGGGAGGACTTCTAGCTCATGGGGCAGTGGAAGCCTCAGGGCTCCTTCGTTCGGTGCTCTCTCTCGCTCAGACTGTCACTCTTGCAAGGAATCTCCAGCTGATCCTTCTGACCTGGGCAGCCTGAGCTGCACGGTACAGATCGACTAGGGCAGGACGGCTCTGCTGGAGGCCAGATGCCTCTGGGGTGACCCTGCCTAGCCCACACTGGGGCGCCCCCCCCCCCACACCACTGGCTCTGTGGGTCCCGCTCCCCCTGCCAGGCCAGGGTCAGAGAAGGATGTGCGGGGCGGGGAGTGAGATGGGATTGACCCTTGGGCTCTCCTACCCACGCAGGTTCTGTGAGGTGGCCAAGGAGAACGGCATGGACGTCTTCCGGGTCTTTGACTCCCTCAACTACATGCCCAATCTGCTACTGGGCATGGAGGCCGCGGGCAACGCTGGTGGCGTGGTGGAGGCCGCCATCTCCTACACCGGTGACGTGGCCGACCCCAGCCGCACCAAATACTCCCTGCAGTACTACATGGGCTTGGCCGAAGAGCTGGTGCGGGCTGGCACCCACATCCTGTGCATCAAGGTGCCTGGAGCCCTGCACCCCACGCCAGGATTCCCCCAGCCCCTTGCCCATCACCCCCCCATATGTCCCCCTCATCATGCCCCCTCCTCACCGCCTTTCTCTTGCCTTCTTGCCCCAGGACATGGCAGGGCTGCTAAAGCCGACGGCCTGCACCATGCTGGTCAGCTCCCTCAGGGACCGATTCCCCGACCTCCCGCTGCACATCCACACCCACGACACATCGGGGGCAGGTGTGGCAGCTATGTTGGCCTGTGCCCAGGCTGGGGCCGATGTGGTAGATGTGGCAGCTGATTCCATGTCCGGGATGACTTCACAGCCCAGCATGGGGGCCCTGGTGGCCTGCACCCGAGGGACTCCCCTGGACACAGGTAGGAACAGCGGGAGTCCATGGCCACTCCCCTCACAGGTGTGGTCCTCAGCAGTCCTAGTGGCGTCTGGCCTGTGCTAGAATCCAGATGTTTCCTGACCTTGCCTTCCTCACCCACATCTGAGACGGGGCCTGAGCTGGCTCTGGGGTCCTGGGAGGCCACCTGGGAGCTTAGCGTATTTTCCTGGCCTCCCTGCAGGGGTGCCCCTGGAGCATGTGTTTGACTACAGTGAGTACTGGGAGGGGGCCCGGGGATTGTACGCGGCCTTTGACTGCACGGCCACCATGAAGTCTGGCAATTCGGATGTGTACGAGAACGAGATCCCAGGGGGCCAGTACACCAACCTGCACTTCCAGGCACACAGCATGGGGCTTGGCTCCAAGTTCAAGGAGGTCAAGAAGGCCTATGTGGAGGCCAACCAGATGCTGGGCGACCTCATCAAGGTGAGCTAGGCCCGGTGCTTTTATCCCCGCCTCTGGGCCTCCGTAAGATGCCGAGCATCCTAACCCAGGGGCTTTTCTTCTTAGGTGACACCGTCCTCCAAGATCGTGGGGGACCTGGCCCAGTTCATGGTGCAGAATGGGCTGAGCCGGGCAGAGGCTGAAGCCCAGGCAGAAGAACTGTCCTTCCCCCGCTCCGTGGTGGAGTTCCTGCAGGGCTACATTGGCATTCCCCACGGGGGGTTCCCTGAGCCCCTTCGCTCTAAGGTAGGAAGGCCCAGCACAGTGTGAGGGTGGAGGTTGGGTGCAGGCATCAGACCTGACCCTCTGCTTTGCTCCCCAGGTGCTAAAGGACCTGCCAAGGGTGGATGGGCGGCCTGGAGCCTCCCTCCCTCCACTGGATCTGCAGATGCTGGAGAAGGAGCTGATAGAGCGGCATGGGGAGGAGGTGACCCCCGAGGATGTGCTCTCAGCGGCCATATATCCAGACGTCTTTGCCCACTTCAAGGACTTCACGGCTACCTTTGGCCCCCTGGATAGCCTCAATACCCGCCTCTTCCTGCAGGGACCCAAAATTGCAGAGGAGTTTGAGGTCAGTGGCTCTGGCACCTGTCTACACTCCACCCCAGCACCTCTGCTCCTGCATCCCTAAGGACACCAGCACATCTAGAGCTCCAGGCTTTGGCTTGGCTGTCACCCCGCCTCACAGGCTGTGGGTACCCAAAGCACCCTGGACAGACCAGGAGGCTAGGCCTTTACAAGTGAGGAGCTGAGGCCCAGGGTTGGGGGACTTGCCTGGGACTGGGTCGGGGTGCTGCTCTACCCAGACTTGTGTGTTCTGTTGTCCCCCACCCCCAGCTCTGAGCCTCCGTGCCTTCCCTGCAGGTGGAGCTGGAGCGGGGCAAGACCCTGCACATCAAAGCCCTCGCCATGAGTGACCTGAACCGGGCTGGCCAGAGACAGGTCTTCTTTGAGCTCAATGGACAGCTGCGGTCCATTCTGGTCAAGGACACTCAGGCCATGAAGGTACAGTCCCCCCCGCCCCTCCAGGGCCAGCCAGGCAGTAGGGACGGGTAGGGCCTGTGCCTCATGTCTCCTCCCCTCTGCCCTCCCTACAGGAGATGCACTTCCACCCCAAGGCCCTGAAGGATGTGAAGGGCCAGATCGGGGCACCCATGCCTGGGAAGGTAATAGACATCAAGGTGGCAGCTGGGGCCAAGGTGGCCAAGGGCCAGCCCCTGTGTGTGCTCAGCGCCATGAAGATGGAGACTGTGGTGACTTCACCGATGGAGGGCACTGTCCGCAAGGTCCACGTAACCACAGACATGACACTGGAGGGCGATGACCTCATCCTGGAGATTGAGTGATCTTGCCCCAGGCTGGCAGCCTGGCCCTTCCACAGACACTGCGCTGCCGGGGCAGGCCCAGGCCAGCCAGTGCCCGAGGGCACAGAGGCACGGGACCTCCTGTCCTCAGCTGTTTGTGGCAGGAGACACTCTGCCTGCTGTGGCTCATTCCCCTCCTCCAGCCGTCTGTCTTCTGCCTGCCGGACAGCTGCTCACGTAGTCATCTCTTGCCAAATTAAGGGTCCTCTCCTTGTTGGGAGACTACAGGTGGTGGGCCGAAGGCCCAGGGGAGCAGGTTTAGGGGTCCTATCTCCTGGGAGGAGACCTAGGCTCCAGGTCCGGTCCTGAGAACTTTGCTCAATAAAACTGGCTTCCGCTGCCCTCCCGGCCGGGTCCTGTGCAGCACCGCCCCCCCACCCCCACCCCCACCCCCACCCCAGCGCCACCCAGCAGAGGGACCGGCCTGCCTGCTGGGACTCCCCATGGCAGGGGCAGGTCGGTTGTATCTTCCTCCTTGGAGGGGAGGGAGAATAGGGTTGGTTTCAGCCGCTATGGAGGGCCTGTGGTACATGCATCCCAAACAGGAGTAGTTGTACTGAGAACCTGGGTAGAGGGGTGCTGTTCTAAGCACTGAACACCCATTAACGCAGTGACTCGATCACCCGTTTTATGTAAAGGGAAATGGAGTCCTAGGAAGGTTAAATAACTCGTCTAGGACCCCAGAGCTGGTAGGAGGCAGAGGGTTCACACCCAAGCTGTCAGTGGACTTGCTTCCCAACCACACTGCTTTACTTCCTAAACCCTGGGCCAGCCTCCCACCCCATCAGTCGAGGACTGCATGCAAACAAACAGACGCCAACTTCCAGGAGGTGGGCAAAACCCTTGGATGTGGGAACCTGTGGGTGAGGATTTAGTGGGAGGTGAGGAGTACTGGATTCAGTCTCCGGATCTAAGCCTGCCCGTTCCCATAACCAAGCCCTCGGGAGAATCCCTCACCCGCAGGGGGCAGCAACCCTGCGTGCGTCGCTGCACTGCTGCCCACCCCTAGCCCCCACAGGGAGGGGAGATGGGGGCGCCAGGCACTTCCCGAGCAGGAGCATGAGGAAGGGGCAGAGCACAGCCCAGGTCTCCCAGTCTCCAGGGGACCAGGCAGGCAGCACACCCCCAGCACCACAGCCTAACTTGGGGGGCAGTTTTGGGTTTCCTCCTCTTTGGACCCCAAGATCCCAAAGGTACACTCTAAAACAGGGCCGTGCTCGCCCCCCTCTGGCTTCCCAGCAGCTGCTACACAGGCCAGAGGACAGGGACGCTCTCCACAGCAAGGTAGGTGAGACTGTCATGACGACCTTCTAGATCCAGGTGAATGTAGTGTAGTCACAGCCAAACCGGGGGTGCCCTGGGGAGTGACCGCACACCCATTTCCTTTCAACCACCAGCCTCAGGGGACAGGACTTGGGACCACCTCTTTCAGTCTAGAGCGAGACCTCAAAGCATGATACTCTTTTAAAAGTGAAAGTCCCAGGGGCAAGGGAATGAAAACCATTCAAAAAACAAGAGGAAGGGCAGGTAGAACACTAGAAAGTTCTAAGAAAGAACCCTGAGTTCCAGTGTTGCTCAGCAGGGTCCTTGGTGCTCTCCGGGCTGCAGTCCTTGTTCTGAGTTCCTCCAGGGACCAGACTACCCACAGTGGCAGAGGCCAAGCCAGAAAAGCCTCTACTCCCAGGTGGCTCTGAGCTGGTTCCTCTCCCATTTGAAACCTGTTTATTCTCCCTTGTGTAATGTGAGGCTGGTAGACTTTGAGGAGGTCCTGGTGGAAAGCCTACGGTCGACCCTCTACCCTCTCAGGGGACACAGGTTGGAGGCTCCATCACTGGGGTCAGGGCCCTGGGTTCCGTTCCCTGATCCTGGGAGCCAAGAGGCCCTAGGTTGAGCCGAGTCCACGTGTGGCACCTGCAGTCCCAGGTCCACCTGTGCTAGGACTTGGGGCATGGCTGAGAAAGGAAGCCGCAGACCCGAGGCATCAGAGGACCCCATCCTGTCCTTTACTTCAGGGAATTGTGCCTACCAGGCTGAACTGCCCAGAGGTTAGTGTTCAAAGTAGCCAAGAAAGGTGGCGGGCACACTCAAAAGACCCCAAATAGATTGATTTCCAAAGGTCCAAGGCCATGTTACCCAAGTTAAATCTCTTTAATATCTCAATACAAAGTCCTGATGCAAAAAGACAATGAGAAAACCCTGGGAAGTTGGGGGGAGGGATTTTGTAAATTCCACCCCCGAGCAGCTTTTCAGAGGCAGATGGGGGCAGAGGAGCTCAGAAAAGCAGCAGTCCAAAGTGAGGAAGGGAGTGCACGGTTCCTGGGACCTGCCCCTTGTCCCCTCACTCCCAGCTGTTCCTCAACCTCCTTTGGAGAGGAGCTGCACCCTTTGGACATCTGCTCCTTTCTCTTGGTCCCTGGGATTCAACTAGCTCTGGCTTCAATCCCCTACAAAAATTCCTGAGATCTCGGGGGCCCAGCCAGCTCCTCCCCTGCAGTACCCCTTGGTGGGGAGGGGCTGGGGAGCCCGTGAGAGTTCATTGGAGCATGAGTCAGGAGCATGGGTCAGGAGCACAGGGGAGCCTCTGAGTCCCCTGCCCGCTCCAAAAGCACACAAAGGGGAAGGCTGCCGTAGAGCTTGGGGTCCGTGAGGGGCTGGAGCAGAAGCAGGAAGAGTCCCACACCCAGAGCATAGCCTGCCAGCAGGGGCCGCCTCTGCGGATGCTCCAGGGCTGCACACACGGCAGGAAAGCCCATGTAATTGCAGAAGGAGTGGCAAAGAACCGGCCCAATCAGGTGTCCTAGGGAGGGGAGACAGAGCAGCTTTTGGGGCATCCGCACCCCTTCCAGGGCTAATCACCCACATCCCTGAAATAGGACATCAGTGACCCCCCCCCCACACCACACAGCCTCTGCTCTCTTCCACCTCTCAGACCTCACCAGACTGAAAGCCCTGGCTCTGCCAGTCTCAGACCACAGTGGAAGAAACTTGCCACTCCTACGACAAACAGCGTTCCCATTCTCCCACCCACTCCTGTGGGCCCCTGAGCCCCTTGGCGGGGGGGGGGGGGGGGGGGACCCGTGAGAGACTGAGGACCAACCTGTTCGGATGAAGAGGAAAGCAGTGTAGGCACCGAAGACAGCTGTGTAGGAGAACTGGAACGCTGGAGACGGGGAGGCCTCGAGTGACCACACCTGCATGCTCTTCCTGCCCCAGCACTGCACAACCATCAGCCAGAGACATCCCCTTCCCCGAGGGCAGTGGCTGCCTGCCCCAGGACCTACGGCTATCCTCTACACCCCAACTCCCATGGCAAGGGGCCCTTCCAATACTACAGCCCCTGTTCCCAAGTCTTCCTCCAGAACGGCTATCAGGGACACCCTTACACACCCCGACCCAGGATTGCCCCAGGCAAGCTTTCTAGGACTCACCTGCAGACAAGAAGATGCTCCCCACGCTGCTCTGGCGGAAACGAAGCTGCTCAAAAATGTGGTGAAAATGGGCTGGGAGGAAGGCAAGAACTAGGTCACATTTCTCTACGACTGCCTTATAGGCCGCGCCCTTGCTCCAAACCCCACTTTTGGCTCTCATGCTGGGCACATCTCAACGGGACCAGGTTAGACAAACTCACCAACTCCGAAGAAGAGTGGGCAGGTGAACACGGCAGGGCCCAGGCCAGTGCATGGTGCTAACATGGGCAACATGCAGGCCCGGAATACCAGTTCTTCTGTCAGGGGTGCAATCACTTGGTTCCGCAGCCAACGCATGTCTGTGAGGCAGCGGGCCCAGGAGCGAGGGGCTAGGGAGGGGATTCAGGACCAAGAATCAGTGACTAGCTTTGAACAAAGAGATCCTAGAGGCCCCAAAGGCCCCCCTCCCACAACCTCTCCCTGGTCAAACTCAGATTAGGCATCAATACTCCTGAGAACAGGAAGAGTCAAGCTTCATCATCGCACCCAGCACAAAACAGTTTCAAGAGGCCTGCAAGGAAAGGTATTAGCAGCTGAGGCAGAATGTCCTGCTTGTAAATTCTGGAAACATCAAAATCAGAACTCAAAACCAGCTCTGACTTGAAGCAGCCAAACTTAGAACGATGTTCTTCAGTCCCCACAAGGTACTGTTGCAGCTTCCTAGGGGACTCCCTGGATGTCAGGAACCAACTCAAGGCCATCTGCTACACGTTCCCATTTTACTGATAAGGAAACAGGCATCTCCTACGTCTCGCGTCCAAGTCCTGCCATGAGCCCACCTACTCCCCTTCTCACTGAGCTGGGCTGCCTGTGCCTACTTTTCCCCTCAGCCTTAAGGACTCACCCAAGACAACCTTCAATCCATCTGCCAGATCACATGGGCAATCCATAGAGAGCTGCATCAGTGGGCCCAGGAAAAGGATCTGGGGACAGAAAAACGAGCCATCAAAGGAGAGGCTTAAACCATAATCCACCACCCTTGCTCAGAAAAGACCTCATGAGACTTCAAGCCTCCTGTTCTCAGCCAGGATTTCCCACCCACGCATACCCGAGGGCCAAGGACCATCTCACAATTTCTGCGGCCCATCAATCAAAATACGGACACAATGAAGAAAAAAAGGCCATGGAAAGGAACATCATGCCAAAAACAAGAGAAAAATAAAACGAGCACTCACCATGGTCAGCAGCAGGGGTAGCAGTGCTGCTGGGAAAATGCCCTCCAGCCTGAAGCCCATCAGGGTGAGCAGGGATGTGCCTGGCTGAGCCACAGGAAAGGAGGCATCAGTCTTGCTCTCTCCCCGCTGAAGACCCCAGAGATCCTCCCCCTCTTGCCCTCTGCCCCACCGCCTCCTTCGCACCTGGATGCCTGTGAGTTCTCTCCAGAGTAGCACGCAGAGGGGCGAGAGACTGGACACCACCAAGACGCTAGTGAAACGCCGCTTGATGACGGCAGGATGGTCCCTACGGAGGGAGCAGTAAGTTCTGGGGGCCCACAGCCGCCTCCGGAGAGCGCGGCCCCGCCCCCGGTTCGCCCAAGCTCCGCCCACAGCCCCGCCTCGCGGAGGCGCGGGTTCCGGCCGCGCGCGCAGCCCCCGCACCTGGGCAGCTCACTCTTCCAGACGTAGAGGCTGCCCACATAGGAGCAGGCAAGGCTAAGACAGGAGAACACTGACACCCAGCAGCACAGCCCAGGGCCTGGACCGCCCAGAGCCGCCGACTCGGGCTGCCGCTCCGGCCGCGATACCGACAGCAGGCGCAGCCCATCCCCACCCAGCGCCGCCATCGCGCCCGGACCCGCGGCGCGCACCAGTGACGCGATCCCGCCGGCGCTCGACCCGCGCGTGCCGGAAGCGCGGACGACGTCATCCGGCAGCGCGGGCGCCCCGCCCTGACCCCGCCCCCAACACTGAAGCAGAGGCGGCGCGCGCCGAGCAAGTTTATTGAACAGACAGCATGCGGCGCCAACAGCTGCGGGGGAGTCGTGGAAGCCCGGGGCTTGGGGTTGGGGGCGGGTGGGACTCCCCAGCTTAGGGCTCAGGGCCGGGACTCAGCCACTCGGATAGATTGGAGACCTCCTGCTGCCAGAGCGAGTCCTGCGGGAGGAAAGGGAGCCCGGAGTGAGGACCCTTCGACAGCGGCCGTCTCCGCCTTCCCGGTGCGCCCTCCCCTGCCCTCGCCCGGTTACCTCCAGGCCGCCCCCGGGGCTCCCCCTGCTCCCGCTAGGCGTCAGGGAGGGCCCCGTGGGCTTCGTGCGGCACGCGGCAGCCTCTGACGGGCTCCGGGTACTGGCAGAGTGGAAGGCCCGCGTCTCCTCCATGCCCTGCCGGAGGCAGCCCCTCTTGAGCCTCTTGTTTTCCACTTGCCCGCTGGTCCCTAGGCGAAAACAAGCCCATTTTTGCGCCTACGGCCCGTGCTAGAAAGACCCTTGGGGCAGAAGAAAGGGGGGAACTGGTCCCGGCTCTTCTTGCCCCCCCACCTCAAATTCCTTGCAGGCAGGTCCAGATCAAAACGCAGCTCCGGGCCTTAAGGCTGAGGCAGCGGAATGGTTTCAGTCCTCACTTGGGGCTCACGCCCACTCATTCACTGCACACAGATTTCTCATGGAGTCCAGCTCCTCCCTCCCTGACAAGCTGTGATTCCCCCTGCCCGAAAGCCAGCCTCACCTCTCCCTTCGTAGCTCACAGTACGTTGAGCAGTGCCCATTAACTGATGGACTTGTGCAAATTTAAAGTGAGTTTGTACCCATAGATTCCGTCTGAGCAGGTCCTGAGAATGTAGCTCAATGAGCTGTTTCTGGGTGAGGCTCACAAATGCTAGGAGGAATGCAGAAGTGTGTACAAAGCCCAGGGACAGAACACAGAAAGAGGCTGCTAATCATCCCTAGAGGTGAAGAAAGTTTCCCTGAGATGTCTGAGCTGGGTTTTTAAAGGATGAAGAGAAATATGCCAGACCAACAAGGGAAAGGAAAGGAATTCTAGGTGGAAAGATGCAAATACCCAAAGACATTAATTAGTATCCCACATAAAATGCAAAATGGTGGGGGGCGTCTAGGAGATGAATCTGAAAGGGTTAGTAGGAATCAGAGAAGACTAAGAAATGGATTTTTATCTGTAGAAAATAGGCAGTGAAGAATTTTAATAAGCACTGGAGATGTATTGTTAATTTTGTATTTTAGATTATTCTGTCAGGTGTGGCTTAGAGTCAAACCAGAAACAGGAAGACCTTGGGGTGTCTGGGTGGTGCAATTGGTTAAGCATCTGACTCTTGGTTTCGGCTCAGGTCGTGATCTCAGGGTCATGAGGTGGAGCCCCACATGGGGTTCTGTGCTCAGCGTGGAATCTGCTTAAGACTCTCCCTCTCCCCCTACCCCCTGTGCATGCAGGCACGTGTTCTCTCGCTTTCTCAAATAAATAAATCTTAAAAAAAAAAAAAAAGGAACATGAAGACCTCAAGAGCCCCAGAGAGTGAAGGCAGCAGGAATGGATGGAGGCACCACCAGGTTAAGAAGTATATCCATGAGGGCGCCTGGGTGGCTCAGATGGTTAAGCATCTGCCTTCGGCTCAGGTCATGATCCCAGGGTCCTGGGATCGAGTCCCGCATTGGGCTTCCCGCTCCTTGGGAGCCTGCTTCTCCCTCTGTTTCTCTCTGTCTCTCATGAATAAATAAATAAAATCTTAAAAAAAAAAAAAAAGTATATCCATGAGGCCAAACCAACAGGTCTTGGTGAGAGATTAGGTGTGATACAGGAGAATGAGTGGCATCTTGAATGAATCTCATTTCAGATGTGAAAAACTGGATGGGTAGTGGTGCTATTAATCCTGACAGAGGGGGGCGCCTGGAGGCTCACATTTGAGTGTCTGCCTTTGGCTCAGGTCGTTGGAATCGAGTCCCGCACTGGGCTCCCTGTTTTGACGGGGAGGATGCTTCTCCCTCTGCCCCTCCCCGCTGCTTGTGCTCTCTCACCCTCCCTCTCTCATAAATAAAATCTTAAAAAAAAAAAAAAAAATGCCTGACAGGTAGGACCATGCGACCTCCACATGGAGCTGCTTAGTGAGCAGATAAATCTCCCATCTGGCACTCAAGAGAGGCCTGGGCTAGTCACGCCAACTGGAAAGTCTTGAGCTCCAGAGGCAAGGTTCAATGCCTGGGCTGGAAGAGAGCAGCTAGGGAAGGAGTGCTGTACAAGCACCGTTTAGGGGGTGGCCAAAGGAAGCTGGCTGAAGAGAAAGATCAGAGGGGAGATGAGGTGAGTCACAGTCTTTTAGTGCTGAATTCTGTAAATAGTTCAGGCACAGTAAAGATAAATGTACAATTTGGTACTTATGAAGTCTTCCCAAACAAGAGACCTTGCAGTGCAGACGCCACAAAGAAAGCAAGTGCCCTGGGTTAGAATTAGAGAATGGGAGGAAGAAAGGGAGAGGGTACAGCTTGCTTTTTTGAGAACCCTGGCTGAGATGTGATGGAGAGAAAGAAGTTGTTCAAGATCATGGGAGATTTTTTTAAGTACTGAGAGATTGCCCTGCTGAGGGGAGAGAACTCAGAAGAGAAACTAAAGGTGCAGAAGTGGTAGCTGATGCAAGTAGGTTCTGAGAAAGCAGTAGGGCTAATGCCACCCCTGAGCCTAGCAGGGATGGGGCCCCATGCTGAGAGTTTGGGCACTAAGTGTGAAGTAGGATGCTAAGTCAGTAGGCAGAAGCTGGGTAGACATTTTAAAGAATGGAGTAGCAACTGACAAGAAGGCCAGGAAGACGACATAAAGGACTGATAGCTAAGGGCTACCCAGTGAATAGACCGTGGATATATGGTGGCATCATCCAACTTTCAGTGAGTTTCTTTAGCAGAACTGCCCACGTGGGACATAGGATTGATGGTGACTAGAGCTGCAGCTTTATCAAGCAGAGAAGCTCACCCAACCTTCCAGAGGGTTGCACCGGATTACATATACCTAGATTTTAAGGCTTATATTGCACAGTGGAAAAAGCATAGACTGAAATTCAGATTATCTGCCTGCAAAGCAACCTCTGAGCCTGGCTTGCCTCTTGTGAAATGGGACCAATGCTGCCCATGCCAAAGGGGACCACTGTCAGAGTGGTCACTGTGGGAAAGTCTAGCATCCCCCTGGGTCCACAGAAGGTGCTGGATAAAATGTTAATTTCTCCCTTCTAAAGAAAGGAAGAAATTCCTTTTTTACTCTTTTCACTGTATAAATACTGAATTGTATCCATTCTTTTAAATCTCCAAATCTATATTTATATAAATAGATTCTTTGCTTTATACAAGCCTTCACTGCAGGGTTCTCAGTAGCAACAGCCCCCACAACATTGCAAACAAGGCTCAACTGATAGAATGATTCAGGAGCACCTCTTAGGTCTAAGTCTGGACAACATGCAGCATGTTGTAGTTGTGACCTTGGAAGAGGAATTTTACCAACAAAGTATAGGTGCTAAAGTCAGTCCCCAAATTCCCTCAAGCCCAGGTACTGTTTTGACAATGCATTCCTACTAGTCTTGGCTCTTGGAGACAGACTGGAGCCAGGCTACCTAGCTTTGAATTCTGGCTCTCCCATTTACTACCTGTGTGACCTTCAGTAATTTTACTGACATATCTGTAAAATGGGAATAGTAACACTACCTCAGAGGATTGTTTTGAGAATTAAGAGCATTAACGCATTTTAAAGCTCAGAATCGGGGTGCCTGGGTGGCTCAGTCAGTTAAGCGTCTGACTCTTGATTTCGGCTCAGGTCATGATCTCAGTGTTGTGAGATGGAGCCCGCATTGGGCTCTGCGCTCAGTGGGGAGTCTGCTTAAGTTTCTCTCTCTTCCTCTGCCCCTCCCCCCGTGCCTGCTACCCCTTCCCCTAAATCAATCAATCAATCAATCAATCTTTAAAAAAATCATTAAAACCTCAGAATAGAGCCTGGCACCTCACTACCAGGCTCAGGCACCAGTGGCCACGGTGATTTCCAGCCATACACACATCCTCTGCCACTGCTGGATCTGAAGGCTGTGTAAGTGTTGGAGGGAAGGGGGGGGGAACAACCAGTGTAATCATATCACACACAACAACTCCCCAAAACATACATCAAGGCTGAGGTGTTCTGCACCCAGGAGTAATCTCTAGAGCCCCAAACAGAGCAGTAACCAAAACCAGGAGAGCTGCATTATCAGCACTAATGATCGAGAAAAGACACAAAGGCGTGAACTGGATTCAGGGCCCTGCCCCTCCATGTACAACGATCTTTAACTGCACAAACTTTATGAGGAATTTCTAGTTCTATCATACCAGCTTTAGGGAGAGAATGCCCCCTGCTGCCCCAGAACACCCCTAGTGGCAGTGGGAGCCAACCAAATCCCAGGATTTTGCTGTGGTGGAAGATGCAGTTTGAAAGCTTGAAGTCAACATTTTTTACTTCTCAGCTTTGGTCCTGGGCTCACCTGAAAAGCTGAAACCTTACCTGCAAGGAGTTCCAGGCTGCTGTTCTCATGTGCATCCTCTGTGCTCTGCTCTGCATTTTTCTCTGGGAGCAGCTGCTTTAAAAATCAGAAGTACTAAGTGAGTGTTGCAGGAACATGAAAAAGCCCCAATGAGACAAGTGTGCCTGGTGGCTGTGTTGACCTCACAGGGCTGTCTTCCCTCACCTAGAACTCCCTCGTACTTGTTTCTGGCTCATGTGAGTCCCCGACCCAGCTCCAATCAAAGCTTCCTTCTGTCAGAGCCTTTGCAACCCATTCCAGGCACTCCAGGCATTTCCTTCCTCCTCCGAATTCTGGTCACCTGCTTACCATCTGCCTCTCTCCTTGGGCTCTGAAGATGCACTGCCTGCCCTTGTTTATCATTTTTGTTTGTGTGTTTTACACATTATTTTTTTTAAAAGATTTTATTTATTTATTTAGGTATGTAGAGAGTACACACAAGTGGGTGGAAGGGTAGAG